CACTTCCGGCTTTTTTCTTTTTGCTTATGTAGGGCTGAGGAATCGAACCCAGGGCCTTAGGCATGCAAGGCAAGCGCTCTACCACTGAGCCACTTTCCTAGCCCCTCATCTTTTCTTAAATGATAACCAATTCTAACTTTGATCACATGTATAAAATACCTTCATAGTCCACTTAGAGTAGCACTTGACAGAATACAACATGGGCAGGAGCCTATCTAAGATGACCTCTATAAGCAGAAGCCATCCAACTGACTATCAACAGGACCTTCACAAGCATGTTCCATACCTTAATACACTCAAACTCATAGCTGAATCTCCTATACGTTATGCAGAGGAAAAGTAACAAGATAGAAGAGAATATATCATATAAATCTTTGCATGAAATTCTAAAATAGATACAATTAATTTTGGTGGGAAAAAAGGTGTTTGTTCAAGGCCTGGTATAGAGATTGAACAGAAAAAGACTCAAAGACATTTTTCTGAGGTGCTGGATAGACACTTTTTTTGTCCTGACAGGGATCAGAACACAAGTGGATATATGCTACCATATCCTCAGTATGTATTTAACATTATATAATCCAGCATGTGTCAATTTTACTTAAAAAAATAGGAAGAAAGGAAGGAGCAAAAGAAGAGAGAAAGGAGAGGAAAGGAAAAAATACTGAACTTTAAGATTGCTGTTTAGTTGTGGCATTAAAAAATATTAGTTCTAAAATCACTTTTTATCTATTCAAAGTCTAAAATAAGGAGAAAATAAATGGAAAGATGGAACCATGTTTTCTTACTGCTGAAAAAGTGAGTTCCAAGTTTGGTAAGGGGAAGATGTGTCTGTTGAGGTGCTGGTGAGAATGGCAGGTATTCACATGGATTCAGAGAGGCCTACTTGTGGGTAGAGTATTATGTCCTAGTGCAAATCTTAACCTATCTGGGACAGATTGGCATAAACAGATTATAGGAACAGAGGATAACCCACCAAGCAAAGTATTTGTATGTCTATACAACTATTAGTAAATAAGAAAATGAGAAAGAAGGAAAAGTCTTTCCTTACAACAGAATACCCAAACTTTAGACAGTGAGAGTTAAAGAGTTTGAAGACAGGATATTGTCATTTCCATTCAAAGTATGAAATGCACAAAAATTAACTAAAAATGATTAATCTGAAAATAGATAGGCTTCTAAAGGAGCCTTCCTTAACCAACTGTTCACATACTCTATCACCGAATAGAACAGACTATGGCTAGTAGAATTCCAAGCAAAACAGACAGCTGCATCTAATTAGAAAGAAACACTGGACAAACCCTGAGGGACAATGTACAGTGCAACTGGTTTATATAATTTAGAATGTCATAGTGATCAAACACACGGAAAGGCTCAAAAAATGCTCCCATTAAAGGACATTAGTGGAAAAAAAAAAAAGGACATTAATGGATTAGCTGGGGTCCAAGGGAAATAAAATAGTAAAGGACATGATGGGATAACTGACAGAATTAAAATACAGACTAGGGATCCTAATGTTAAATATCTGATTTTGACAATGGGGCGATGATGTAAGAGAATGTCCAAATCCTTAGGAAATATAGTTTAATATTAAGGAGTAAGAGAATACACAATGTCTTCAATATACTCCTTTTTTTTCTTTTGGTGTTAGTTGTAGGGCTTGAACTCAGGGCACAGGTGCTGTCTCTGAGTTTTTTTTTTTTGCTCAAGACTAGCACTCTACCACTTGGGCACAGCTCTACTTCTGGCTTTTTGGAGATTAGTTGGAGATAAGAGTCTTACAAACTGTCCTGTCCAGGCTGGCTTTGAATTGTATTCCTCTGATACCAGCCTTCTGAGTGGCTAGGATTACAGGTGTGAGCCACCTGCCCAATTGCTGTTAATATTATAGTAAAAGGAAAGAAAGAATGATGGGGCAAATAATAATGAACTAATAAATCTTAGTAGAGAATATATGAAAACCAGGTATAGTAGTATGTGTCTGGAATTCCAGCACATGATGAAGACAGGAAGATGGGAGTTGAGGATATCTCCTAAGTCCTAAGCTACAAAGCAAGGCTGTACCAAAAAAAAAAAAGGGATGGAAATTCCTTGTATTACCCTCACAATTTCTATGTAAGTCTGAACTTTTTAGATAATCTTGCATATATTTAAAAACATATTTAAATTTAAATATAGCAGAAAAATACTGTTCTTATACATGATTAAAATTTCCATAGGATGGTAAAAGATACAAACAACTATAGTTTCCAATTTGTTGTTTAGCACACTACCTCTTAAAAAATTTAAATTAATTTATTCTTCAATTTCCATAATTCATCTACAATGCAAGACAAGATACTTATGCTACAAATCAAGAAAATATCAAACTGCTGTTTAAGCTTTCCTTGGCATGGGAAATAGAGATGATTTTCTTCCTCCATTCCTCCATGGTACCCTGTAGATAATGACACAGAGTTCTTAACAACTTGTTATTTGAAAACCGACTTGTTATTTGAAAACCCTGTAGATAATGACACAGAGTACTTAACAACTTGTTATTTGAAAACTGAAAATTTAAAAATAAAAGAATCCTTGAATAAACAGACATACCTTACAAAGTTATGGCAAAACTAAGTAATGTTAAACTCAATTTCCCTAAAAGTCATCTGAAGATTCAAGTCCATTATAATTCTGGCAGCTTTTTTTGTAAATATTGACAAATGGATTCTAAAACGGACCAAAACAATTCTAGAAAAGAATGAATCTACAGGGCTTTCTAAGTACTTGATACCAATTTTTATAAAGCAACATTAACCAAAAAAGAAAGAATATAAACAGCAAACTGTTAAACTAGATCTCAAAATTACAAACTTCTGTGTTTTAAAAGGTATTAAGAGAAATAAAGATATGTTCCATATGTTTGATAGAAGGCTTGCTTCCAAAATATATAATGTCACATTGTGCATATTAAAGACAGTTTTATAGACATAGAAAAACTTTACTGTGTATCAATTCTGTACTAATGAAACTTTAACTCCCTCACTGAACTATTTGTAACTACATTATCATCTTATAACAATAGAAAAGTTGTTGGGTAAAAACTTGCCTTATAAAAAAAATAAGCAAAACAGAGAGAACACTGTATTAACTAAGATTAAAATACGATTTAGGAATATATAAACAGATAACTCTACATAATTGATCCATATTAAAAAACTGCATGTGAAAAGCCAGCACAGCAAGGTAGAAAGAACACTACTAGAGGTGAGGAGATATACGACATCCATGTCATTACCAGCCTGGTAACTTTGGATACTCATATCCAAGAGGTTAGGCCAGGATTATCCAAATTCAGCTTTATCTTATCTTTGTACCCACAGAATTGCTTGGGAAACCAAGTAAGTTAAAAAAAATTTCAAGGGGCTGGGAAGGTGGCTCAGTGGTAGAGCGCTTGCCTTGCATGCTCGAGGCCCTGGGTTCGATTCCTCAGCCCCACATAAGCAAAAAAAAAAAAGCCAGAAGTGGCGCTGTGGCTCAAGTAGTAGAGTGCTAGCCTTGAGCTGAAGAGCTGAGGGACAGCACCTAGGCTCAGAGTTCAGGCCCCAC